AAGAAGAAGCACACCGAAATCTTGGTGTTGAACTTGATATCCTCTTTAACGAACTGCCGAAAAAAGTCGTTCTTATACTAAAGTGGTTACCTTGAAAAAGGCCTTGGACGTCAGTCTTTTTTTTATTATTATGTGCATGTTCCAAAGCCCTGCAGTCATGTTCTGAGCAAAGGCAACTCACGAAGTGGGAAGTGTTTTATAGTCTGGACTATTAGGTCCCACTATATTATGCGTTGGGTGCCCTATTATTTTCCATTTGCCCATACCTTGCAGTCATGTTTTGAGTGATTTATCATACAAGGCAACTCACAATGTAGGGAAGCATGTTATGGTCTGGGTCTTTGGACCCCACCATAGCATGTGTGGGCAATTAATTAGGTTGTCTATATTGAACTTTTTTTTGATTAATTTTTATCATTTACTACTTTATCAAGAACTGCGAGAACGATTCCGCAAATAATTTATTTATTATTATGGAAAAATCACCTCAGGAAATTAGAATCACTTGCTAGTTTGGATCAAGTATATAAAGTATGTATTGTTATTACTGTATTACTAATGTATTTAATGTGATACAATATTTACTCTTTCTTTAATCGTTATTGTTAGCAAAACATCGCCATACAAGAAGAAATTGGGCGAGCTGATGAGGAGAAAAAACCAGAAAACCGCACAGAGGGCTCAAAAGTTGAAGAAGGGTAATCCTAATTAAGAATATAGTCACTGATTTCCCATGATTTCTTCTTTTTTCCGGTATATGCACATATACCGGAATCTCGTTATACCGGACGCTAAGAGCTGGACCAAACCGTCCGTTATAAACAGATTTGACTGTATATTAATCAGAAATATAAAAGTTAATTTACAAAATACAGAAATTAGTTGTATTTGGTAGACATTGCTTAGCTAACATTTGTAAACGGCTAGTACTCTTCAATTACGCTTGAATCAGTAATAAATGCATCTTTGTGTAAAGAAGTTATGTTAAGATTGTCCCACGTTGGACAGCACATAAGCTTGGGCCCGCCAAAAACATGTAACGAGATATCAACAGTGTATTATTTCAACTTTGGCACAAGAACGGATAGTGTCTCTTTGTCAAAATCAGTAACAATTTCTATTGTTCCATTGCAAATACCCTTTCTATCAAAGAATTATTTAAGAACATTACTCTTGCTCTCGTAATGAAGGAGGTAAGTTTGTTTTTAGTTTAAAGTTGAGCTGCGTTATTCCATCGGCTGTTGATGTAATCGAGGCCTCACAAACCATAAATTTATTATTCTCTACAGGGCAATGCATTATTTATATTTATGGTATAGTATCGGTTTGCTGTTTACGCCACATTTTTTGATAGTTTTTTAAATTTTATAATTGTAAGTATGACCAAAACGGCCAATACGGATGTAAACAAACAGACGAAATCCACTATCAACTGATCAGCTGACCATTCATTCACAAATTGACATTTACCATTTA